ATATTTTATATTAATTATGATAATATAATATTAAAATAAATTTTTTTTATTGTTCTCCATTTCTTGTGCTCTAATTGGCTTTGCTTGAAAAATGTTGGAAGACAGGAGGCAATCACATTAACATTTTGAAAACGGCCGGCGATGACGCCGACACGAGAGAACGGAATCCGAAGCGGAGAAAAATATCTGAGGACAGAGATTTACCACACACGGCAAGGCAGAAGAAGCGCATGACAAAAATATAAAAAGACCACAACGTTGCCCTAGATTATGATAGTGATGAAGTGGATATAAACGGTGATTGGATTAATTATTTTGATATGATTGAATAATTGATAGTTAATATTTAATATTTAATAATAATAATTATTTATATTTTAAGATTTATATTATTTAATTAAGTTCGTAATTAATAATTATTTTTAATTTTTAAATAAAATATTCTTATATTTACAATGTTACCTTAAATTATTCACATTATATCATTTTTGAGTTTATATGTATTAATTTACATGATTAAGTAAAAACTTTTATGATCCCTATGCCATGTGACCAAATGGCCAAAGCCTTTGGTCATCAATTAGAAATCACTTTCTATGAGTTGCGTATTCAAATCTCATGGATTACATTTTTCCCTCCCCAAATTGTTCTTGTTAAAAAAAAAAAAAACCTTTTATTATAAAATAAAATTATGGTGAGAACTGTATATATTAGGCCCTAAAACCTGTATTGCATCATTTTAATGAGGAAAATGATTTTGATATCCTTTAATTCGACATGCAGATCAACACTCAACTACTTTAACTATTAAAATATATTATAGGTGCAACTAGTTTAATCACTTCTTTCATGCTACATGATTGCATTTTTAAGTTTTTAGCATCATTTTATTTATACTCTTTTACTTAAGTATCACTATTTCACTTATTAATTTTTTTATGGCACCACCTTTTAGGAAATATAGAAATATATTAAATAATAAAAAATTGTAGTTGAATCTCCATCTCATGACATTATTGCCTAAAGCATTATAGCATAAAGATAAAATCAAAAGTATAACTTATAGCACTAGTAACAGATTTAAACTATACCCATGATGAATATAGATAATTAAGCAAAGAGAGCATTTGCAACTAGATATTGCAATTACAATCGTTGTATGAGTTAAATAGGGCTGCTAATGTAGAAAGGAGAGTCACTATGAGTATCTGAAGCTACTAGACATCCTCACCCATTTAACCAGCTTCATAGGGAGAGCAAGGGATTCCGACAACAAACGATCCCCAACCCATAAGTTGCCGCCTTAGCTATTCTTAAAGAATAACCAACAGGAGGGGTATGGTCCTCCTTCATACAAGCACAAGGCACCCCATTTGTCTCTATGTGCTCCCAACCATGTTCCCAACTTTACCAATCCTTTTCAAGCCTTTTCTGTCGAAGCTCATTAAGGGAACTAGAGCCATTTTCTCGGCTTGAATATCATTCTTCCCTTGTAGAACACAATCAGCTTCACCAACAACATCCCTTTTCTTCTTTATTCAGCTGCCTAATCGGAAATTGGTGTAAACCAGTTTCTCTAAGTTCGACCCCCACCAAGATGCCATTTGAGGAGATATGTCGAAGCGAGATTCTTGCCCATTGAATTGGAGAAACCCTAGCCACTGGTAAGAGCAATTCCCTTGTTATTCCAATCACAGCCTTTTGAAATCAACAACAGATGTAAAACTAGTTGACCTCTTGGGATGCCAAAACACTATAAAACCTAAATATGTCACTGCCTTGTGGTCCTTTGGGTTGGAGACTTGGAGTTTCCAAAGCAAGTTAGTCGACTAAGATGAAGGTAGAGATCAAGAGGAGGAAAGTATGGGTAAGAAGAAAGTAGGGATGAAGGGACTTCTTTATCGGAGGGAAACCCTAAAGAGGAAACCCGCCGTGATTGACCTCAACCCTAGGAGTAGTGCACTAGAGCTGTAATTTTATGGCACCATCTTTTAATTGTTAATATAAAGAGAGAAAATAAGAATGAAAATAATTTAAAGTGATAATAATTTATTTGTTATTATTCTTTATTTGCTTAAACTGTCGTTTCATTATTTATCCTTTGACACTCCTTGCATCATCATATATCATTATATATATGTTTTTTTTACCCAAATTAGCTCTTTTTATCTATTATTAAATA